CACCACCTGTGTCTGGAGGTGGCTTGCACCACCTGTGTCTGGAGGTGGCTTGCACCACCTGTGTCTGGAGGTGGCTTGCACCACCTGTGTCAAGAGGTGGCTACCACCACCTGTGTCAAGAGGTGGCTACCACCACCTGTGTCAAGAGGTGGCTACCACCACCTGTGTCAAGAGGTGGCTACCACCACCTGTGTCAAGAGGTGGCTACCACCACCTGTGGCCCAACACGCAGCATCTCCTCACTGGGGATTGGCTGTCTCGGCCTACCTCCTCTGTTGCCTTCCTGAGCCTTCGCGTCACCATAGCCAAATAAGAGATGTATATATACTCTCAGGCACATCTCGGGATACCAACCTTGGTACAATGAGTACAGGAGGGGCAATAATTATTAGGTATGAGAATGAGTTCAAGGTGAAGTTGTGAGTAAATGGTGTTATAATGAGCACAGTGAGTATGAGTATATCTATCCACCATGTCTATTTCTTCTATTACTCTTCCCAGAATGTCTAGTCAACTCGTGTATTTCCCAATATATGGTAGAGTGCCTGACTCTCAGTGTCATCATCCATTACTCGTCAAATTCCACACAATCTTTGGCCACTCCGGCGTTATAACACCTTCCAGCCCAGCACATTCAACATATAATGCTCTCTTATGTGCTCATGCAGTCAACACACTGCACAGTATGAAGAGCAACACCTGCCTCGCCACACATGCAGGGGCTCTTGAACAACTCGACAAGATATTGTATTTTCCGGGGTGACAAATCGTGAGAACGGGCTGAGAAATCAGCGGCACATCTGTATTAACGTGTGGGAGGAATTGCTATAAACACAGTGGACGTCAGACCTGATGATGTACATCATCAGGTGATAATGTACATCATCAGGTGATAATGTACATCATCAGGTGATAATGTACATCATCAGGTGATAATGTACATCATCAGGTGATAATGTACATCATCAGGTGATAATGTACATCATCAGGTGATAATGTACATCATCAGGTGATAATGTACATCATGTACATCAGTAGGTTAGGTTGGATTTTGTACGTAGAGGCAAGAGACGAGCCTGGGTAAGACGTCCATTCCCTCACCATAGCCACCGCGATTAAAATTCAATCCCTGTTGGATGAGTGGATAGATATGAGGGTGGATAGGTAGTCTGGAGGATTCAAATATGTGTAAATAGAGGAGGGCGGGGGTGGATGTATAAGTTTTGGATGGGTGGGCGGGCGGGAAGGCGACCCTTACACTAATTTTTACTTTTGTGTTTATCTTCACTACAACATGGCGTACACACACACACACACACACACACACACACACACACACACACACACACACACACACACACACACACACACACACACACACACACACACACACACACGGAAGGAGGGGCGTGCCAATAAGTGTGTGAGGGGGACACGCAGAGGACTGTCATGATCACCAGGGAACCAGAGTACGTCATGCAGTGTGGGGGCAAGTGTGCATGGTGAGGGGGGGGGGGATGGGATGGAAGGAGCCCTTGCAAGAGGAAAGGGATGGGACAGGATGGGCAAAAGAGGGATACGAGGAGCAAGGAAGGGGCGTGGGGGGGGAGGAGGGAAAGGGAGAGACAGGAGGGGGGAGGGGGGGAAGGAAGGATCATTAAAGGAAAGCAAAGAGCAGAAGAGAGGGGGGGAAGGGACATTTGGAGGGAAAGGTGGGAGGGAGAGAGGAGAGAAACCCCTCCTCCCCCCCCCCATCCCAGGTAACCGAGGCTTTTACCATCTGCAGATTCACTCAAATCTCTAATGTAATCAATTATATTATCACTATATGCAGTTTAGTAAATCAAATAAAACACTATAATTAATAAAAGTTGTAATAAAAGTCTACGGTGTTTGGTCTTCATGTTTTATTATTTAAAATGTGTTCATTCACAAAATCGGAATAGAATATGCAGAAAACCTGTCTCCCCCCCCCACCCCCCCCCCCCCCCCCCCCCCCCCCCCCCGCCCCCTCCTCCTCAGCCCTGACCTTGAGGTGAATCCGACTCCTCACTCTGACTCCTCTTTCAAGTGATAAAACTTCGGTACATGAATATCTGAAGACATATAGTTTTAAATGTATATATAAACACATACAAAACAAAGGAAAATATACTTGCATGTATACACATACATACCTACACACCATACATACAGCTTGTATGTTTAATCGTAGTGAAAATCAGAATGAACCTTTAGACTAAAAACTTTTCAAAATGCATAATAAAATTATTAAAATATATATATCAGTTTAACCTCCCGTAATTATATCTTCCCAAAACCCATTTCTCTTATGACGAAAACAAAAGAGCAACAAGTTTATAAAATCGAGGAAGGCGTCTCCATCAGCTGTTCTAGGTAAACACGGCAAAAACCGTCGACTTAAATATGGCATCGGGGCGGGTTTCGCGCCAAAACGTAGAAAAGCACAAACAAATGAGGCTCGGAACCCGTGTATTAGAACAAATTAACGCGTGACCTCGCTGGCGTCGCCTTCATAACTCTCACCTCTTAATACTCATCCTCACATGACAAAATATATAAATGAGTGTTTGAGTGTGTGTGAGAATGTGAATGTGTAGTAGATATAAGAGGAAAAATACGTCTGGAGTCGGTACATTACACAATCGACGGTTACAAAGGCGGAGTCCAAGAGCTAATGGCTCGATCCTGCAGGCAAATGGTAACTAAAAATAGCAAACTCCCTCCTTCCCCCCCATCCTCCTCCACAAAAGCTTCGCGCTAATAATCCCATAATGATAGTCTGAGCAACTCGGACACATCCATGTTACTTGCTCCAGGTGTTTCACCCCCGGCATGCTGTTGACGCTGTTGTATAAGATCAGCGGTGATGGTGGTAGCGGGTGGTGGTAGTGGGTGGTGGTAGTGGGTGGTGGTAGAGGGTGTTGAGGTATTAAGGAAAGGCATGGGGTTCTACCCCAACCATCCTCTGACACTCGCCAGACAATCGCAAATCGCCTTGTAAAGTTTGACTAGGCTGGCCCCTAGCGTCTGGCCGATAGCATCGGGCCCCCTAGCGGCTGGCTCCCAACCTTGAACATATATTTCCTCCCATGGATATGGATTTTGTAATTTCTACATTTTGATATTTGGGTTCAGTAGTGTGAGAGGCGTCACCAACGTTAAGGGATTTAGTGGTACAAGATGGTAGGTGCTGGAGACGGTAGTTGAGGCGTCGCCGCAGTTAATTATAAACTACTTGACCAGCGTCTTGGTGGAGGTGGGGGGGGGGCTTGGCCAACACGCCCCCTCGTGACCGCTAAAGTTTTCAATAAAATGAGTCGCTGCTTTTTGTAAATAAAGCGTAATGTAAATAAAGGTGGTGGCATTATTGGTGGTGTCGGGTGGCACAAGTGTCATGGTTGTACCTGACCCGCAACCATTACCGGTGTCACTGACGTCATCACCTTGTTCACGTGCAGAACATTGACCTTCCTGAAATGTTATTATTACCCCCCCCCCTGGTAGTGTTGACCCCGCGGTCTCTGGGAGGGTTCATCACTGTCGTATAGTTATGACCAGGGGGGGGGGAGGCGTGAGGCGAGAGTATGTATTATTGATGGTTATGGGGGGGGGGAGTGGTTGGTTGTGACCCCTGTGGCTACCCTCTGGTCATTATGACACCTGTCATCACTCGTGGTTAATCCTGCATGTTGATAGTGACCACGTGTGTGTTAATTGTGTGATAAGCTGTACGTTAATTGTGATGAGGTATGGGTTATACCCACCTCGGCCCCCTCCCACGTTAGTAATCTCCGCCCCCTCCCACGTTACTCACCCCAGCCCCCTCCCACGTTACCCACCTCGGCCCCCTCCCACGTTACCCACCTCGGCCCCTCCCACGTTACCCACCTCGGCCCCCTCCCACGTTACCCACCTCGGCCCCTCCCACGTTACCCACCTCGGCCCCCTCCCACGTTACCCACCTCGGCCCCCTCCCACGTTACCCACCTCGGCCCCCTCCCACGTTACCCACCTCGGCCCCCTCCCACGTTACCCACCTCGGCCCCTCCCACGTTACCCACCTCGGCCCCCTCCCACGTTACCCACCTCGGCCCCTCCCACGTTACCCACCTCGGCCCCCTCCCACGTTACCCACCTCGGCCCCCTCCCACGTTACCCACCTCGGCCCCCTCCCACGTTACCCACCTCGGCCCCCTCCCACGTTACCAACCCCGGCCCCTCCCACGTTATCAACCTCGACCCCTCCCACGTTATCAACCTCGACCCCTCCCACGTTACCAACCTCGACCCCTCCCACGTTATCAACCTCGACCCCTCCCACGTTATCAACCTCGACCCCTCCCACGTTACCAACCTCGACCCCTCCCACGTTATCAACCTCGACTCCTCCCACGTTACCAACCTCGACCCCTCCCACGTTATCAACCTCGACCCCTCCCACGTTACCAACCTCGGCCCCCTCCCACGTTACCAACCTCGACCCCTCCCACGTTACCAACCTCGACCCCTCCCACGTTACCAACCTCGACCCCTCCCACGTTACCAACCTCGGCCCCCTCCCACGTTACCAACCTCGGCCCCTCCCACGTTACCAACCTCGACCCCTCCCACGTTATCAACCTCGACCCCTCCCACGTTACCAACCTCGACCCCACCCACGTTACCAACCCCGGCCCCCTCCCACGTTACCCAGCATCAACACTGGCAGCCATAGAGGTGGTGGCGACAGCGGGGTGAGTCTGCAGGCATCCTGGCCCGTAGCTCAGTGGTCTTCATCGCGGTACCCCGCTCTCTCTGGGGCACAACATTGGGCAATGCCCAATGACCACAACAATGTACAGGCAACGCCAACAATTCGTCGACGCGACGTCACTAACGTAGCATCAACGTTGACTCGACGTGTAAACCCAGTTTTCGATGTTGCGGCCACTGGGTGATGGAGTAAAGTTTAATCGCCATTGGTGTTGCTCCGACAGTGATGTGGGCCACCCGGCAGATGACCAAGCAAGAGGACAGAGAGGTCTATGTCCGCACCACCTTGAGGGAACTGGTCGTGTACGTCATCTTCCTCATCATCCTCTGTATCTGTGAGTATCTCTCTCACTTCCTACATATTTATACACATTTTTCAAACCCCAAGTTTATTCGTAATTTAATATGTGGGGGGGGAAGGTTTTGTGGCCAAAAAGGGTTTGTATTGAGGTTACGTTAAGCAGTGTTGGAGTGACGGGAATTATTAATTGATGTTTTTTCCTGGGCGTCAGCAGGTGGCCTTCCTTTACGGAGATGACTTGTGTCAGGCGCGGACCTGAGGTGTACACAGAGGTGACTTGCCTCCAGGTGTATGTCCACGGAGACTTTACTCTAGTACTGGACTATGTTCAGGACTAGTATTCTTGGAGCTTGGTCAGTAAGCAATTGTGGTGGCCTTAATAACCCTCCAAAGGCTGATAGGTCTAAGCCCAACACTAAACCAGCGGGTGTCTACGCCAGGCGCTGGCCTCCCCCACGTGTTGGCAACACTTCACGGCTCGCATCTCTCATATATTACATTTGCTCCTGCAGTAAAGGTGTCCTGATATAAGGTGAACCCCAGGGATAAGTGCCCGTGCCTGACCACCCATTGCTGTGCATGATGGGCAAATCTTCAGTTCAGTCGGGTTAAAAAGAAGTTGGGTCTGGTCAGTAACATGATGGGTGAGAACTTTGACACAACATCGCCCTTGGTTAGGTCTACGGAAGATTAGGGAGGGTGGGGAGTCAGAGCTCTGCGCTACCTCAGGTTTAGGATGTGGTACAGTGTTGTGAACCTCTGGTCATGGTATACGACTGCAATGCGTCCAAGGGCTCATCGCGAGTTTCTTCGTGAAGGGTGAAACGGAGCGCAAGGCGCTAGGCTTGTGTCACCATTTTGAAGTGGGTAGCGCGCGGCCGGTCGGGTACTTAACCCAGGGGCGCGTTTTCCAGAGCCCCCAATTTATGGGCTATTCATGCCCGTGCCACCTCTTGGGTGGCTTCATCAATCAATCCATACACAGTTTCAAGTGTAGATATGATAGAGCCCAACCCCCGAACGCACAACTAGGTCAGTACACACACACACACAGCTAAATAATCTCGAGAGATGCTCTGAGAAATGGCTACTAGACTTTAACCCTGAGAAATGCATTGTTATAATGATAGAAATCAGAACAAGAAGACCTCACATACAATACAGGATGAAGGGAAGACAACTTCTGAAAGAGAGAAACTTAGGGGTGGACACAACCAGAGATCTAACACCAAAGGCACATGTTTGCAGCATAACAGAGGCAGCATATGCCACACTGGCACACGGCAGGTTATCAAGCCACAATGTAGGACAGATAACAGGAGATGCTCTTTCACCCACAGTTATAGACCATTGGAACTGCCTACCCCCCGAGGCCGCAAAAGACAAGACATCACTTCAGTTTAAATTCCAGATATAAAATATAATCTGGGACGATAGTGGGCTTTTGACAAACCAACGGCTTCCTGTCCTCATCGATGCTACTATGGAGATATTGGCCACCTGGTATGACCACTATGAAGATAGTAATGCTCAGGTAAATTCTGGTAAATATTATCAGGTAGGAGGGGGAAGGATGCACAGGCCACAGGTGATGGGCACACTCATGTACCATGTGACTCAAAAGACAAAATCTGGAAATGGGCATAACTCTTAAGCCTATTACCGGAGGCACACGCCAGCTGGCACACGTGTGCCAGCTGGCGTCATGACGAGCGGGGGGCACACAGCTGGTATACGTTCATAAACGTTTATGAACGTTCGCGTCGGCATGACGCAGCTCGATACCGAAGCTTTCACGACATTGTATACAACCTATGTTAGACCAGTCCTGAAATATGCTGCCTGTGTTGAATCCTAAACTGAAAAAAAGCACAAAACAGAATTAGAGAAAGTCCATAGAAGGGTTGGTTGCTACAAGACTGGTCCCTGAACTAAGAAATTGAAATTGAAATAAGTTTATTGAGGTAAAATACACACAAAGGGATGAGGTAGCTCAAGCTATTCTCACCCCATTCAGTACTAAGAGGACTGAGCTACGAGGGAAGGCTGGGGGGTGGGTGGGTGGGGGGTTAACTAGACCTCGCCACACTGTGGGAGAGATGTTAAGAAGTAACATGGTTAAATCCAATTAACATGTGCTTGGGAGTACCAGGTGTGCGGGGTCCAATCCTCAACACTTCATAGTAAGAGCAGTAAGCGCAATAAACTAAAAACGGGAGGTAATTAAGGCTAACACACACACTACAGTTTCAAGAGCACATGTGATACGAGGCAGTTATACCAATAGGAGATTGAAGGGAGTGAAAGGCGAGACCCAGGAGCTGAAACTCGTCCTGCTAGCACGTACAGGTGAGTTACACACATTCCCCCGACCCTTCAGAATGTGTCGAGTGTATACTAATATGTGTTGTGTTTTGGTTGTGGTGGACAGTGACGTACGGGATGACGTCGTCGACGATGTACTACTACACCAACGTGCTCTCCGGGCTCTTCCTGGACACCCCGTACCCGGACAACCAGGGCAGCTACAGGCAGGCCACACTCGTCGCCGACTTCTGGACTGTACGTCCCTACCACTCAAACCCGCTCCTCTGCCTCTCACTCATTGACTTCCTTCTCAAAATACTCATGCCCATGTATAATATTGTGGATGAAGATATTATTAATAATAGGTCATCGGTGTATAATAATTACAAACCCTGTATACATATTAACTAGTTTTTCTGGTGAATTGGATCAGGTAAAATGATGCTATTAAAGTGGTTATTTAGAAGTACAGTACTAAAGTTCTCCTTAATAATATCTGTGGAGAGAAGCACAGTTAACCTGCCTTATGATCATACTTGTGGCTGCACACCTCAACAAGTTTGTCCTTTACATTCAAGGGACAAACGCTGTCCCTAAGCTTCAGAGGCAGCCACTGCCCAACATGAGAGCAGCAGCAGCAGTGTAACGACCACTACCGTCTTGTATAACTGATAAATTATATTTTTATCCTGGCACAGTTTTTGGAGAATGTGATGCTGGACGGGTTATACTGGGAGTCGTGGTATGACCCCGCCACTACCCCTACCGAGACAGATGACAGAAATATACTCTACGAGAACCGCTTACTTGGTCTCCCTCGTATGAGGCAGGTTAGTGGCGTGTCCTACTGGCTTAATTGTGTTTCAATACATTCTTGTAATCTTTTATTAATTGATTTTGACTCTGCCAAATTACTGGTGTACTATCCTTCCTCAGCTCATATTTTTTTTGCTGAAGTACACAGAATGTCTAAATCCAGCTCATGTTCCCTTTTTTATGAGGGGTTTAGGAGCTGTATTTTGAATGCAATACTACCTTATGTTTTTGGCAAGTAGACTGTTGAATTTTTGTTATTTGCCTACGCCTACCTTATTCCCAGTAGTCCCTAGTGAGATGGCTGCAGTGATTGGCGGATGTCGTGGGCACTACACGTGGCTGACAGTGTAGATCATGTGATGTATGTTGGCATGTGATGGAGTAGTTTTGAGCATGTCTTCACGAATTGTAGCCTTAGATTTTTAGTGCAAACGAACGAGTTCTAACACGACAGTGAAGGATATTGGGATAAGTTACTTTTAATATTACTCTTATTAAGTTCATTGGAGAGCCAGGTGGCGGAGCTGTAGGCAAGCTAGGTCTTCCACAAGAAATAACTGCTTCTCCGTCCTGATTTGATTGAATACCGTGTACTTTAGTATTTTAAGCCGCCAGTGTAAGTGATCTGTCATACCATTTAGGTTGGGTCAACCCTCCCAGGAATAGATAGGAGCCAGAGTGTTGTCAAAAAGATGAGGCATGAAAGAAGTGACAGAATGTAGTCACCTAATTGATGCAGCAGGCAGGTCACGACAAATCTTTCCTTATGCTAGTTTTCTCATTGTGTCTTGGCAAGCTTAAAATTACTTCCTCTTGTATATAATGTGCTGTGTATTTAACGCTGGGCCTTTTGGAGAAGTGCTCAGGATTTACTTTATTTAATCCGTTTATCTTTAATGTCGGTATGAAAAATATATTTTCATGTAGTGCAGTAATTAGGATTAACAAACTTAATTCGCCTTCAGATACGAGTGAGGAACGACTCGTGCACAGTTCCAGATGATTTTCAGCGAGCCATAAGGCAGTGCTTCGACGTGTACTCCTCAAGTTCTGAAGACAAAACCCCCTTTGGACCAGGCAACTCCTCAGCGTGAGTAGTGGTAATGGTGGTGGTAGTAGTTGTTGTAGTGGTGGTGGTAGCGGCAGCGGCATAAGAAAAGTGGTGCAGTAAAAGTAGTACTGATGACAGTAGTACTAGCAGTAACCTTCACCATCTTTCAGGAACTACCTTGTACAATGGACACAACATGGATTTGTTAAAAAATAGATCCTGCCTTACAAACTTGCTCACTTTTTTGGAAATGTAACCAGCTCCTCAAAGGCCTTCCGGGAGATGTAGTATACATGGATTATGCTAAAGCTTTTGATAAGGTACCACATGAGGCTGGCAAGGAAATTACAGGCCCGTGAATAAATGGTGAAATGAACAAATCCACAAGGACTGTGATGAGGGTTCGAACCTACGTCAGAGATGATCCCAGGCCACACCTTAATCGACTGAGCTACGACCTGGTATAAGAATTGCAACCGGGAAATCAACTTGACCTACCACGGATCCTGCCGCCTCTCCAAGACACAAACCAGGTTTTTATATAATTCCCCCATGCACCCGAGCTCTGCCAATAAGCTATTCAACCTCTTCGCCCTTACTTCATTACACACAGAAATCACAATAGCGTGATGCATCAAATGAACAAATCCACAAGGGCCGTGACGAGGGTTCGAATCTACATCCAAGAGGATCCCAGACACGCCTTAATCGACTGAGCTATGACATGGTATATGAGATTTCTGTGTGTAATGAAGTAAGGGCAAAAAGGTAGAATAGCTTATTGGCAGAGCTCGGGTGCATGGGGGAATTGTGTAAAAACCTGGTTTGTGTCTCAGAGAGACTGCAGGATCTGTGGTAGGTCAAGTTGATTTCCCGGTTGCAATTCTTATACCAGGTCGTAGCTCAGTCGATTAAGGTGCATCTGGGATTATCTCAGACGTAGGTTCGAACCCTCATCACGGTCCTTGTGGATTTGTTCATTTTACCATTTATTCATGGGTCTGTAATTTCCTTGCCAGCCTCATGTGGTACCTGCAACGACTACCAAATTAATAACATTACATTACAGTAGATTGATGAAGAAAAGACCTTGAAATCAAAATGTACCACTCATCAAAAGTTGCTCAACAGGTGGGAGCAGCAGTCAGAAAAGCTAACCAAACTCTTGGGATAATCAAGTGTACTTTTGACTATAAGGAAAAGAAGGTAATGGTTCAACTTTAGAAATCTCTGGTGCAGCCCCATTTGGATTATTGTATCCAAGCATGGAGACCTCCTTTTCAAAAGGACATAGCTGCTCTGGAGAAAGTGCAACACCGAGCAACAAAAGTCATTCCAGAGCTAAGTCATCTCTCATATCAGGAATGCTTGAAGCCCACAGGGTTGACAACACTGCAAACCAGGCATGACAGGGCAGATCTCATTGAAATTTTTAAAATGCTGAACAAGTTAGATGATGATGATCCAGATATTTTCTTCAAAAAGTCAGATGTAACACAAACAAGGAGCAACTGTTTCAAGCTCAACAAGCCACAATGTAGGACCAAGATCAGGAGATGCTTTTTCACCCACAGGGTTAGTAACCCATGGAACCACCTACCCACCGAGGCCGTAAATGCCAAAAAACTCTTGTTTTAAGATATATTTATATTTATTTATTTATTTACTGTATATACTTACTATATTGAGTTCCCTGTTGGGTTATTTGTGGACCTTACTATATGAGTTCCCTGTTGGGTTATTTGTGGACCTGCGTAAGGCTTTTGACACTGTCAACCACCAAAACCTTCTTCTTAAATTACATCATTATGCAGGTCACTCCCTGCAATACTTTTTTTCTTTGAGATATATACAAGAGTTGTTACATACCTCAAATCTTACCTTACTGACAGGCTCCAGTATGTTTCTGTGAATAAGTCAATTTCTCCCACCCTACCCATCAACATTGGTGTTCCTCAGGGCAGCATACTTGGCCCTCTCCTCTTTCTCATCTACATTAATGACCTTCCAAATGCCTCCTGACACCTCAAACCAATTCTATTTGCTGACAACACAACCTTCATTTATTCCAGTCCTGACCCCATAGCTCTTAATGTCACAGTGAATACTGAGCTAAATAAAGTCCATCTTTGGCTAACTGCCAACAAACTCACCTCAACATTGACAAAACTTTCTATATTTTGTTTGGCATTTTGTTTTTTGTTTTTTTTATTAAATATGAGGTACATCTGCATTAGTGCAGCTACCCTAGACTATATGAAGTAGAGTACAGTGTGTCAAAAAAAAAGAGCTAACTAAGTGATGCTAAAAAATCCCCATCACACAGGATGGTTAGTCATACAGAGGCATGTGATAAGCAGTCTGCACTGGCAGACTCTGGATGCATTTTGAGGATATCATCAACACAAGATTAAATAAGGTAGCAGTGGTAATAAAAGTCCCCATCTCGCAGGATGGTTAGTCATACAGGGCTATATGTTTAGTAGCCGGCACTGGCAAATTTTGGGTACACTGTGAGGATATCTTCAAGAATACGAGAGTGGCAATAAATCCTCAAATCAAATAAATCTCAGGATAAATAATACCCAAATTTGTAACAAAATAGATGGCAAATTCCTTAGCGTTCTCATTGACCACAAACTGAATTTCCAGGGACACATTCTAAATATATCAAAAAAAGTTTCAAAAACTGTTGGCATTCTTTCTAAGATCAGATATTATATACCCCGCCCTGCCCTGGTGACGCTCTATTACTCCCTCATCTTTCCTTATCTCAACTATGGTATTTGTGCTTGGGGTTCTACTACCCAAAATAATTTACGTCCTCTAATTACTCAACACAAAGCTGCTATTAGGACAATATCCAACTCTGGCCCCAGACATCACTCGGTACCCCTACTCAAATCTCTGAATATGTTAGATATTAAGTCACTGCACATCCTCTCATGTGTATTATATATATATATATAAAATGCTGAACTATAATACCAATCCTGACCTTAAAAGCTTCATTAAAGGTTGTAACAGAACCCATGAGCACCACACCAGAAACAAATATCTTTTTGATATTCCAAGAGTACAACTTAATCAAACTAGAAATGCTCTACAAATCAAGGGATCCAGAATGTGGAATAACCTTCCCAATCATGTTAAAAGACTGTACCTCTATCAAGCAGTTTAAGATAAAAACTAAGCACTACCTAATTAACTCCCTGTAACCTACCTTTCCCCAATAATGTCAACCCATGTCTGTTATTTTTTTAAACAATGCTGTTTGTCGACCAAATTGTATTTTTGCTGTTTTTCTGCCATGTTCCCCCCTTTTTTATTTTTATATTTTATCAACACATTTTATACTTTAATCTCAATTAGTATTAAGTTTTAGTTTTTAGCGTTTTTCCTGCCCGAAACGCTTTGCGTAATAGTGGCTTTAGGCATTGTATGTACTAGCTCTATCTATAAATTCATCAATATTTGTATCACCCCTTGTATGTATGTACTTTACCTGAATAAACATTTGAATTTTGAATTTGAAATTTTTGAATTTACTCTTATCTAGCTAAACACAATATACTTAGCTCTTGCTAATATACCTGGAAAAGATAATCAAGGCAAATGTGGGGGACCTTCAACAAGCTGCCGGCTTCCTGTCCTCAAAGACAGGAATATATAGTGTATATATAGTGTACTGTGTAATAGTAGACTAGTAAAAATCGTAATTGTTATACCTGTAATAATGAAGAGAGATTTTTCTGTCTCAATCAATAAATTGCCAAGAATGCTCACCTAAATACCTGTACTCCTCACAGATGGATATACTACACGGAAAAGCAGATGAACAGCACGAGCACTTGGGGAAAAATTGCCACATACTCTGGTGCAGGGAGCTATCAGGTGAGTCATCCTTCCCCAGATTGTATGTAGCTTTACTTTTAATACTACTTGACTACTTAAAAAGTCCTATATAGTGGTGCTCATGACCAAAAATTTGTTTACTAAACCAATGCCAAAAAACTGCATATGGCAATTTGAGCACAGCAGGTAATTGCACACAGTGACTGGAGCCATATAAAGGGTAAATCAAAGTTAAAAATTAAGAAATATTAATTGGGCCTTCTTTGTAAAGATTTCTTACAGTTTTTACCATAATATTATGTAGATGCATCTTTGGAATGCCATTATTAATTCATACTATAATTACCATAATATGGAATGCCATACCGGTAATTAATAATTATGTATCGGTTTGACACTTTCAACGTGTGTGTGATGGTGAAACATAGGTTCTTAATGAAAATTTGTCATATAACCCCCTGGGAGCATATATTTTGGAATTAATTTAACACTTAGATACTGTATTGGGCGATCACAATAACGTGGCTGAAGAATGTTGACCAGACCACACACTACAAGGTCAACATACTGTATTGGGATTTTGGCCCACCGAGTGTACAGTATCACCATTTTTCACTATTTATTGCATTTTATTTTTGTTGTGACCCAAGATGAAAGTAAATATCTTTTTGCTTGTACTGTACTGTTTATAGATTTACCTGAATTTACCTCCATCTCATCTCACTAGTGGTTTCAATGAGGACAAGAAGCCAGTGGTTTGTTAAAGGTCCTGCCCATTTGTCCTGATGGTTTTATCCAACTGGGTTTGAATTGTAGCAATTATTTGGCATTTACAGCTTCGGCAGGTAGGTGGTTCCATGGGTTTGTAACCCTATGTGTGAAAAAGCATCTGTTCCATCCTACATTGTGGCTTTTTAGTTTATAAAGCTATCTGACCTTTTAAAGAAGTCTGGATCCATATCCTCCAAATTGTTCAGTATTTCTAAAGTTTTGATAAGATCAATCTTGTTATGTCTAGTTTGCAGTGTTGTTAACCCTGTGACCCCCAACCATTCTTGGTACTGTATGAGAGTCAACTTAGTTATAGGATTAATTTTATTGCCAAGTATTGAACTTTCTCCAAAGCAGATATGTCCTTCTGAAGAAGAGGGCTTCATGCTTGGATACAATATTCCAAATTGGAGTGCACCAGAGATTTATTCATTTAAATAACTACCTTCTTTTCCTTGAAATCAAAGGGTTATTTAACTATTCCTAGGGTTTGGTTAGTCCTTTTTTTTACTGCAGTTCCCACTTGTGCAACTTTCAGTGATTGGGGATTCTGATTCGAAGGTCCTTTTCTTAATCAATCTGCTACAAGGTAATGGTATTACAGCACAATTAGAGCTATGGTACTCTGACAATGTTAAACATGGAATGCTGAAACTTCATGTCTATTTCTGTGTCTTACAGACTTTCTCTAATGGTACAGCACCATCTGTTTAGTGTGCCCTAAACACACTATTAGGGTATATAATTATATATTCATTGACTCTCTAATTGACTAAAAATTTGAAGCGATACAAAGCCACCAGTACCACTATACCACCTACCTTTGCTCTCCTGTATTTATTACCCTAGTCAATACTCCTTTTACTAGCCTGTACTTTTTATACAGTAATTTGCTTTTTACTTTGTTGGGAACAAGATGTTGTTGTTAAAGATTCGCTACCCGGAACAGAGTTCCAAGCAGCACGGGCTATGGTGAGCCCGTTGTGGAACAAGAAGCCTGTGTATATATACAGGTATATGCTTAAGGCTTATATCAAGGTCCCCCCTTAAAATTTAACTTGTGGGGCCTTCTTCAGGTTGCAACCCCACAACAGTTGACTAACTCCTGGGTACCTATACATTCTGTTCACTTAAAGGTGAACAGAGGCAGTAAGAAAAAGGAAACGTGCCTAACGATTTCTGTCCCACCCAGGAATCGAACTTGGGATTCTCGATTGTGAGTCAAGAACAAACCCAACTGTACCCATTGCATTCATCGTGACCTGTGACAGCCCAAATATACCTTTCTCAGTTGTCATCATGGAGTTGAACCATAACTGGCTAAAAATGGCCTCAATGTTGCTAATTTAACTGACAACAACTCATGAATGCTAATCTTCTCACTTTGTTGCAGTCACTTCTTAAAAGATGACGAAATACCTGATTTATCTGAGTGCCCTTAACCTCAGTGGCCTCGATGAGGACAGGAAGCTGGCAGCTTGTCGAAGGTCCCTCCATTTGCCTTGATGATCTTTTCTAGGTGAATTTTAAACCTCAACATGGTTTTGGCAGTTACTACTTCGGTGGGTAGGTAGTTCCATGTGTTAATAATCCTGTGGATGGAAAAAGCATCTCCTGTTGTCAGTCCTACATTGTGGCGTGTTGAGCTGGAAACTGTTGCTCCTTGTTTGTTACATCTGACCTTCAGAAGAAAATATCTGGATCAACATGGGGCCCTGACAGCTGAGGTGACAGCGCTTCGGATTCGTAGTCCTGAGGTTCCGGGTTCGATCCCTCTTGGAGGCGGAAACAATTGAGCAAAGTTTCTTTTGCCCTGATGCTCCTGATCATCTAGCAGTAAATAGGTACCTGGGAGGTACCTATTTGTACCTACTACAAATGACAGCTGCTACGGGCTGCTTCCTGGGGGTGTGTAACAAAAGGGAGGCTGGTTGAAGACCAGGCCGCAGGGACGCTAAGCCCCAAAATCATCTCGAGATAACATCCTCTAATTTGTTCAGTATTTTAAAAGTTTCAATGAGATCTGCCCTGTCATGCCTGGTTTGCAGTGTTGTCAGCCCTGTGACCTTCAAGCATTCCTGATACAAGAGATGACTTAGCTCTGGAAGGACTTTTGTTGCTTGGTGTTGCACCTTCTCCAGAGCAGCTATGTCCTCCTAAACATGAGGTCTCCATGCTTAGATACAGTAATCCAAATGATTTATACAGTTGAACCATTACTTTTTTTTTCCTGTAGTTGAAAATACGCTTGATTATCCCAAGAGTTTGGTTAGCTTTTCTAATTGCTGCTCCCACCTGATGAACAACTTTTAATGAGTGGTGCATTTTGACTCTTAAGTTCCTTTTCTATTCTTCATCAATCTACTGTAATGTAATGCTATTAATTTGGAAGTTGTGGTGTAGGTTGTTGTGCCCCACATGCATGGTCTTGCATTTTTCGATATTAAAAAGCATTTGCCAGTCTTCTGACTAATTGTGAAGTTCATGTAAATCTCTTTGTAAGGCTTTAACATTATTAGCATTTCTCACTTTACCATAAATCTGTCATTTCTTTTTATTTATTTATATATAAAACAAGAGTTCTTACATTCTTGTAAAACCACTAGCACTCATGGCGTTTTGTGCAAGTCCTTAATCCGAATTTCCCCCAGAATACGACCCGCTAAATCATTTAGCAATCAGGTACACATTCACTGCTGGGTGAACAGAGGCTACAGTTAAGGATTGGTGCCCGGTTAATCCTCCCCGGCCAGAATACGAACCCAGGCCAAAGAGCTTGCGAAGCACGGGGCGAGTGTCTTATTACTGTGCCACGGGGACTGCATAATGTAATGTAATGATTTGGGTATGAAAATACGTACAGTATAGTACTTTTAATGTAATTTATCAATGAAAATGTTCTATTACCTTCAACAACTGCATATTTTTAAAAATGTGCATACATATTTACAAGGGTCCTGGTAATATAGTCGGGTTCGTTCTGAACGCACAGTTGATTGTTCCGGGTTCCGGATAGAAATGATAGGGCGCATTTCCTTTCACCTAATGGTCTGTTCACCTAGCAGTAAGTAGGTACTTGAGAGTAAGTCAGCTTGTTGTGGGGTTACATCCTGGGCAGGGTCAGTAATTCGACTTGGATGGAGAGGAGCCTCGATAAAAGCCTAACGTATATGAATACACTGGTTTCCTGTCCCATGACACAGTGAATTATTATCATCATTATATGTTCTGTATAGATGTTGCCTCAAGTTTTGTTCGTATTATGAGTTTTAAACATTATATACTTCAGTACCATAATGTTTTTCTTCTATTTTCAGGACCTTGCTTTATTCAGAAATGAAACTGAAGCTATAATTGCCGATCTTAAAGAAAACCTGTGGATTTCAAGAGGGACCCGAGCAGTCTTTATCGACTTCACCGTCTACAATGCCAACATTAATCTTTTTTGTGTGATCAAGTAAGAATAAGTTGGTGATAACTTTTCTCTAATTGGTTATACTCTAATTTTCTTCTTTGGTTCTGCTCAAATGAGAGCATTTTTTTGATAGTTTATAATTTCTTTCAACGTTTGTTAAAGATTGCTGCTCTGAGAGTCAAGTGTTGTTTATTCCAGTACTGTATTTGTGTCACTGTGTTTAGTCTTGTGGTTACCTGTGTTATTTTTATTGTCTTATGGTTTTCCCTTACATCATTCTGTCTGGTATTTAGGCTTTCCTTTACTTGTGTTATTCTGTCTTGTGACTTTCCCTTCTTGCCCACATGTTGCCTGAAACACTGTGTGTACTAGTAGCTTTAGGCATAGTATATACTAGCTCTACCTAGAAATCCAACATTCTGTTTGTAACTCGTTTTGTAGTACTTTTACCTGAATAAACTATTAATAATAATAATAATATTATTATTATTATTATTATCATTATTATTATTATTATTATTATTATTATTATTATTATTATAAAACTTGCTTTTCGACTAATACCACACTTAATTGCAATCTGGTTGATACTGTTCCTCCTGCTTCCAATTCTGCTGGTGACTTCAGTTTCCTGTTCCTCTTCTCCTCTCCAATATCTTGGTGAAACTGGCAAATCTCTAATATAATAATTTAATCTACTTATGAAGCATGATTTGTGTTTGCTAACTGCCCCTCTGTGCTTTAATTCTATCTCTTCTGTTCCTATTTTCTTGTCTATTTTGGATCTTATTTACTTCACTTTCATTCCTTTTCAATTTTCTTCTAACTTTTAGTTTTTACCTCTCCGCATATCCTTCACGTTCCTTCCCACCTTGTATAGACTTCCGTTCTTGCTCAGTTATGACTTGATGAGGCCTCAGGGTTTTGGGTTTCTCATTTTCTTATTCTCTGTATATTATGTCTTGTCTTATGACTATTTTCCCACTTGTATGTGCTCCTTATTCTTGACAGACATTATTATGTTTGTGTAAGCATGTGGTGAGGACCCCATATCTCTTGCAGTCAAATCTATGGGTGGAATTATTTATGAAATACAGTATTCAACTTGGGTTTCAAAAGCCTTGCACAATTGTTTCAAAAGCCTTACACAATTGTTTCAAAAGCCTTACACATTTTGAAGGAATTTGCACCATGTGATAATATTCTAAATAAACCATTCCCATACAAATGGGGGATTAGTGTTATAGAAATAAAAAACTGAACAATTTATATTGTAAATTAGCTATGCTCATATAATCCACACTATTTACCGCTTATGCAAGGACCCCTTTTTGCTGTTTTGCAGAATGCTAAATTCATTTATATACAGTATCACATGTTTATTCAGTTAATAAAGGTGAATACATTGAATATTTTCTGAATTTGTAGCTTTTACCCATGACGTTATTTTCAGACTGGTGTTTGAGTTCCCAGCAACTGGTGGTGTCATTCCCTCCTGGTCCTTCCGAACTGTCAAACTACTTCGTTATGTCACTCCAATGGATTTCTTCGTCATGGCCTGCGAGTTTATTTTTATCTTCTTCATTTTATACTACATCATTGAAGAAATCATAGAAATTAAAACGATTGGATGTACTTACTTCAAAAGCGTGTGGAACATACTTGATATTTTGGTGATACTGGTGAGTGTGGCGTTAATACAAGTTGTGCAGAGGTCATTAGCTGTTACTCTATTAGTGGGAAGTATACATTTTCCTAGTTTTTTCAGGAAATTTACAATAAGTATCATAAAAAGGCTTATTTTATTACCATGTTAAACTGAAACTAAGAAGGCCATTAATTCCCTACATAAAAGCAATTAACTGCATAGAAACAAGATAGTCATGTTTCTTAGATCATGATGTTTCTGGTTATTTTTTATTAGACCTTTATCTTATTGGTCATCTACAAAAATGAGAAAAGTTTATACATCATTGTCATGTTTTCATGAATTCAGCATCATGCATGTATATTCATTCACATTTAAGAATAAATTGAGAAATTGTTCAAAATCTATTGTTTCAAAATTTAATAGTAATTGTTATTGGTGCTGATTTGTGTGTCTTCAATTTCACATGCTTCAGGAGAGGCCATGCCAGACTATGATGAGTCATCACTGAGTAGCAAAGAATAGTGTACATATGCTGCAGATAGTTAGTTGACTAAATTATATAAAACATGTATGTTTTCCAGATCTCGATACTGTGTGTAGTATTCAGTGTTTATTGCACAATCTCAATCAAAACTAAGTTGGAAGAGTTGTTAGCTGACCCCAACACCTTCTCTGACTTCGAGTTTTTGGGCTTCTGGCAAACGCAGTTTAACACTGCCGTTGCTATCTGTATTTTCTTTTCCTGGTTTAAACTCTTCAAATACATCTCCTTCAACAAGACCATGACTCAGCTCTTCACTACTTTATCAAAGGTTTGTGTTTATTCCAAGGAATTTAAAAATATTACATTGCAATATACATGTATTCTATTGTTAGTAGTTGTTCATAAAAATAACGTTAACACGTCAGCTTTATATTTCATAAAATGTGAAATTTTTGACTACATGTGTATCATTTACTAACACCATCAATGAACATCAACAGTGTGCAAAGGATGTGGCTGGCTTCACAATCATGTTCTTCATCGTGTTCTTTGCCTTCTCTCAACTGGGCTACCTGCTCTTTGGCACACAGGTAGGTCAACATTACTATTGGTTATCTGATTTTCATGATGTTTAAAAAGTGTCATTATAGTACCTATTCTGTTTTAATTTAGTTTTTCATATATAGTACTGTATGCCATTTACTTATTAAGTTGAGTAGAATAATTAGGTGGCATATATTGTGTTGCCTCTTGGTAGTGTCATAGTAGATGGCCATGCAGGCCAACTCTTTGACGGCTAGAGAATTCCTTTGGCAGACTTAATGATGCCAAGGAAGGTTTAGAAGGACTTAAAATTTATATTAGGCCTTCTGGAGGTCATTTCAGCTAGAACATGTCAAACATTTAGCTCTTTGCTAGCACACCTGCAGCACACAAAAGATACTGTTATACTATATTACTATGTAATACAAAGGATACTATATTCTTCAATAATTTTTATTAAATGACTTCAATTAGCTTTCGTGTGTAGACCTCATGACAACACAAATGTGACCCATATGGCCCTCAGGGGACCCTCAGTTTGACATGCTTGAGCTAGATGGTGTTCTCCAGTGCTCCCTAGTACTACTATGATCCTGCAGGACCACTTGAAACCTTTGCTGCAGATCTAGTACAATAATAATGACCCATATAATTATATGATACAATTTCTATGGAGACAGTAGACTTACCTTATGGAACATCTGAGGACTGTATAGTCTAGATTATTTCATTGTGATTGCTAGCTTTTATCTTTCAATTTAAATACTTTTCATAATGGTTTTATCTTTACAGATTGAAGATTTCAGTGATTTTGTGAGTTCTGTTTTCACCTTACTCCGATTAATCCTTGGTGACTTCGACTTCCATGCAATTGAAAATGCAAACAGGATCTTGGGACCCATTTTCTTCATTTCATATGTGTTCTTTGTCTTCTTTGTGTTGCTCGTGAGTACAGACTTATTTCATTGCGTGAACAAGTGAGCAATCTTTATCAGTTTGACATTCTACCATGATTGCTCAGTAAAGACAAAATATTTCTTTAATTTGGGATACAATTATCAGATATAGATAACTACTATAACTGAATATATTAATTATTCATATGCACACCTAATCTCAAATGGTCTTACAGAACATGTTCTTGGCCATCATCAATGACACCTACACTGAAGTCAAAAAAGAGATTGCTAGCCAACGCAATGAATTTGAAATTGCTGACTACTTTAAACGTGGCTATAACAATATGATGGGCAAGCTGGGGAAGAGAGATAAACTTATAGATCTCCAAAATGCTATTAAACTTTCGGATACTAATAGTGATGGACTTCTGACATTCGATGAGATTAGGGCCAACCTAAAGAAGTGAGTTATATTTCTACTTTCAAGTAATAATGATAATTATAAAAACATTAAAGTTTTCTTTATAAATATCTTATCATACGAGTTAAGTACCGGAATCCTTTTTTTTATAGGTGCAACTTTTCTGATATGGAGATAGAAATGTTCTTTGCCAAATATGATACTGATGGAAACCGTCTCTTGGAAGCCGACGAGGTGAAGCGGATGTTGGCTGATCTAGAGGGCCAGAAGATGGAGCTCGATAGTAAGTCGTTTTTTGTTTCTAATTAAAGGTCTTCATACAAAAGGCCCTAGTTTCAATCATGTACTGTACTAATATTTATTGAAGTACATGCATTACTTATTTTGCTATATGTATTATATTAGGTACAAATGGACATGGGAAGTGTTGGAATTTGCAGTTATTTAAACACTCTTAGTACATATGTGTTCTCTCAACATTCAATATTATTACCAGATGTTTTCTAACATTTTTTATAACCACAACTATAGTTACACACAGAAATCATAATAGCGTGATGCATCAAATGAACAAATCCACAAGGGCCGTGACGAGCATTCGAACCTACATCCAAGAGGATCCCAGATGCTGCCTTAATTGACTGAGCTACGACATGGTAAAAGAATTGCAACCGGGAAATCGTCCTGATTTACCACGGTTCCTGCAGTCTCTCCGAGACACAAACCAGGGTTTTACACAATTCCTCCGTGCACCCGAGCTATGTCAATAGGCTGTTCTACCTCTTCGCCTCTTCGAGGCTTCGAACCCTCGTCACGGCCCTTGTGGATTTGTTCATTTGATGCATCATGCTATTGTGATTTCTGTGTGTAATGAAGTAAGGGCGAAGAGGTTCACTCAGGCCTTCCTTCTGTCCATTCCTTTCCCAATCATGGGTTTGGGAATGGGATCTTTATTTTTTATGCCATTTCTCAGTCAGTGTTCGTCTCTCTTTCTTTGGTATTTATGTACAGTATTGTATAATTCTTTTAGGTGCTTCAAGTTATCCTTCAGGTAAGCTTGTCAGCTACTGTTTCTCTTTCCTAAATACACAAGAGGACCACTTGCAATATACATACCTGTTATGACAGAGATACATCATGAGAGCCTGGAGGGTGATCCTTACCCGAATTTACCTGAGGTCCACTAACACTAGTGGCATCGACGAGGACAGGAAGCTGGCAGCTTTTTGAAGGTCCCACATTTGACTTGATAACTTTTCCAGTTTGATTTTGAAATTCGACAGTCTTTGTGTTTACGGCTTTGGCAGGTAGACGGTTCCATGGGTTTATAACCCTGTGGGTGAAAAAGCATCTGTTCTCAGTCCTACATTGTGGCTTGTTGAGGTTGAAACTGTTCCTCCTTGTTTGTGTTGCAATTTGACTTTTTGAAGAAATTTTCCAGATCAAAATCCTCCAAATTGTTCAGTATTTTAAGTTTCAAAGAAATCTGCCCTGTCATGCCTGGTTTGCAGTATGGTTAGCAGAACCATATTGGTGTTGGATATGAGAGCATATCCAAAAACTTAATATCTAAACTCAAAAACTAAAAAACTCATGTTTTTAGTGTTTTTCTACTACAATCATGCCCCGGTCTGGTATGTGAGATGGAACTACTTTTTACAGCACAACATACATTTATATTTGAAATAAATTAAATTATACATTCTTCAGAACCAGTTCACCTAGTCAGTAAGACTCAAGTTGTACATTGAATGAGAAGGATTAACCATTTTTAGTGCTCAATTAACCTACTTCCAATTACTGTACAGTATTATACACTATACCAAAGTCATTAATCCTATTTATTCATTAATCCTTTATTTATCCTATTTATTAGTAACTTTAAATGTCATTTGCATAAGGAGCCTCATAACAATTTAAAAGATCAAGTTTTATTGTGTGCCATACATATGTAATGTCATATAATAATACAGTGTAATAAAATAGGAATCAAAAGATAGTACAGTACAGTATATCTTTTATATCTATATATATATCTACACTACTATCACTACTATCTATTTTATATCTATATATATATCTACACTACACGTATATCTACACTGCACCAGTGTAGCCAGAACATCCCTGTCAGGTCATACTGGTGTTAGGGAAAATTTAGAGAAAAGCTTAATCTAAGCCAGAGTAACTATGAAACGTTCTCTCATAAACACTAAAAAGTTCTTCCTAGCACTATAATTTTTCATCACAGGGTTCAACATGTAGCACTCTCATCAAACCACTTATTTTGCACCTGGCTGTTACCTCCTCCCCCAACAGCCACCAGATGGCAGTGCTCTGACCAACACCAGATCCCAAGCCTCGAGGCCTATCACAATCTGAACGAGAGAGAACTGCAAATGCAGGGAAATCAGGGACACAAAATAGGGAATGGGATCATTTGAGTGGCTTGCTCAGAAAGTAGTTTTTCATATTCAATTTTATTAGTTTTTGCACTCGGATGCTCCTTGAGAAAAGATTGACATGTGCTCTGCCACTGAGGTTACGAGAGCAAGAGTGGGGAAAAAATGATCCTGTGCTACAAAGGGAAGTTTTCACGTGCTGCAAGACAGGAAGATTGAATAGCTGCCACAGGACCTCCAGGACATCAGCAGCAGAGCTTATGGCATAAATGAGAGCCATCCAAGTGTGACACAATGGTTGCACATGCAAGGAATCCTGGGAAGGTTATGGGCAGACATACATCGATGAGTTGAATGCCTTGAGATTGGTAAACTTCCAAAGATTATGCACCCATGGATACAATCTCTTGATGGCTCAATTCAACGACTGTCAAGTCGCCAAGATATAAGCCTTAGCACAGGTCACCATTGTACAAGGTGGAGAGTGGCAGATTTCATGTCAGTCTTTCCTCTAGGAACACGAGTGGAAAAACTAATAAATAATAATAATTTAATGAAATATGAAAAGGTACTTTCTGAGCAAGACTCAAATGATCTCATTCCCATTCTTGTATCACTGATTTCCCTGTGATTGTAGTTCTGTCAGTCAGGCCAGAGTGCTGCCATTTGATGGCTGTTGAGGGTAGCAGCCAAGTGGGAAATTGTTTAGTTGACTACTGCAAGGTGGACCCTGTGATGCCAAATACTGTAGAGCTTGAAATGGCTTGAAGCCGTCATGAGCAAGCTTTCTGAAATTACTCTAGGTTGCATCGAGTCATTTTATAGCTCAGAATATCACCCTTCCCTGACTTAGATCCTGTCAGTGGAGCATTCAGTTTTCTTGCTTTAGGAAGCATTGAAATGGAATTGACTAGAAAAAGTTTATGCTAGCAAGTAAAGTCAGTACTGGTAAAGTGATCTAAATATGACACTTACAAGTCCACTTAATTACATATTAGAGCTCAAACAGTAACTCCGATGTAAAATTTTGTACTTATTCTTTTTTATTCATCAAGCAGACGAAACTGACGGGAATAGTAAGTTGTGAACAATTTAGCAGGCCAAGCCTAATGTTTGCTTATTCAGTACAAAAAAATTGTAATTCTGCGATTATGTCTTTCAGTACGTACTTATGTAACTTTTTCAAGAAATTATGTACTGACTTACATCTTTAGTCATACTTGCTTGAAACTGTATATTGTACAAGGATTGCTGCATTTTAACATACATCATAGCACTCATCGTGTATTCTTTTGTAAATGCTTACTGGCTGCTGTATATTGCTAGGGTTCATCCTTTAAGCAATAGTTTTTTTCTATGTGCATGATCTGCATCTAACAAGTAGCCTTAATGTTCTCTGGCTTAATTCTAATAAAATTTTTATAGTGAAATGCAGAAATTTTGCAATCTAATTCAACACTGCATTATGAAGCCCTATTCAGAATTGTAATTGATTGATGAATATTCAAAAAGAATCTTTAATTTTAACTTTTATTGTAATTTGCTTATACAGTAGTGTCAAATATGGCTTAAGACAATATTTTTGTATTGTTCAAATATAAAATAAAAAGTTAAGTCCAAATGTTTATTTTTAGGACAAATGAGCAGTGAGGATCAACCTGGCAGTAAAAAAGACAGCAGTGAAGCAGAGACACGACCAGTGTCGGCCTCGTCTGGCCATGGCTCCATTGCCTCAGTTTCATTTGAGGAGTTCTCTGTGTAAGTACCAGTTAGTGTGTTGAATAAAATGCATTAGTATTGTGTTGATAGAATACAGTAGTAATGAAGCTCTTAAACTATTGAGTAACTTTTAGACTTTAATTGAATTTAAGCAAAGGTTAAAAAAAGAGAATATATGCACTTGATTCATCAGTAGAGTAGATTCCTGAGAAAGTGTTCCTATAGTGACATGGTCTACTATGTCAAAGCAGACCATGTATGTTGATCTTGTTAGAAAAACATTATCTGTTAAAGGATGAAGAATTTTATTATATAAATGCACAAACCATTTACTCTGGGCTAATAAGAATCTCAAGGTGTTTTGGTCTAGTCCCTGAAAAAAAAATCAGGTGTTTAATTGAAAACTCTGTACCTGCATAATGAAGCTCTGAGTGGATATCATCATAAGAGTAAGTAAAATTTACGATTCTGCTTTGTACAGGGGTACCTCGGCTTACGAGCAGGATTTGCTCGGAAAATTTGTATCGGGATGCGAGGGTTGCCTCAGGATGAGGGTGTTGATACACGTACGGGCCGACTAGCGCATGGTGGCACGGCAATCGCCGCTCAGTTTACCAGTGCCTCGTGCCCAGTGACTATCCGGCCTCAATTCTTCACCAGGATTTACAGTGTTTTGTTGGATATTTGGCCATTTGAACATAAAGTTGTTATTATATATCTCGCAATGGGTCCCAAGAAAGCCAGTTCAACTTAAGAAAATTGTTGAGTTGAGGATGTCCCTTCCTCGTTAAGAAAATGTGTGAAGTATGGGAAGAACTGCAAAGTTTTGTTGAAAAAACTCACCCAGATAAAGCTGTAGCATTGACCTTTTAAATGACAATGTGATGTCTTACTACAGACAAGTGTTAGAATATAGGGAAAAACAAGTGTCTTTAGACAGATTCTTAGTAAGACAAGCAAGCAGTGAGCCACAAGCAGGTCCTAGTGGTATGCAGGCAAAACGTACCAGAGAGTGCACACCAGAGAAGTCCTCACTGCCTGATGTTATAATGGATGGGGACTCCCCTTCCAAACAGTAACACCTCTCCTCCTCCCCCCTCCTCACCATCTTCCATACGCCAACATCAGTCATCAGCAAGGGTAAGTAATAACTTGAACATAGTTTTGTAGTGTAGATTTCGATGAATTGGGTATAATATTTAGTTTGAAGTGAGATTTTTGGATAGTCGGGAACGGATTAATTCATTTCCCATTATTTCGTATGGGGAAATTAGCTTCGGTTTACAAGCCGTCTCCAGGACCGGATTAAACTCAACCGAGGTACCCTTGTAGATGCATAGTGATGTAACATCACCATTGCCTACCACTGCATGGTGGAAACAACCATGTGTTCCATGCAACATTTTCTCACAAAGGCCAAAATTTACTTTAATCTAGGGTTTGTGCCTGCCCAGGCCCTAGAAGGCAAAGACGTGGGTGGTATAGAGCTGCATGGAATGTGAGGAGTTTAAATGAAGGACAAAAGAGGATGGAGGTGGCAAAAGTGTGGAAAGTTTGTAGTGCAAGCTTTATGTAAAGGCAAGTTGAGATGAAGTGAGAATGAAAAGTAGAAGAGGGTTAGAATTATAAGAGGAGAGCTGCAAGACAAAGGAGTAAGGAAGGTGTGATCCTTATGAGGAATGAAGACTGATATGGGGTAGTGAATAACTTTTCATGGCACAGTTCAAGATGCTGGTGTGAAGTCAAAATATTAAAGGGTAAAGGTGTCTGTGGTGATTGTATATGCTACATGTAATTACAGAAATGAAAAATAAATTAATTGGTTTGGGGTAGTTTAGAGAGGTAAAACTGGAATGATGCCCAAGTTACTGAATCATAGTTATGGGTAATTTGAATGGTAAAGTAGGGATGGGCCCTGAGAGTGATGTTTAGGTTTACTTGCTGTGTCCAGAGTTAATAATGATGACTGCACATTTGAAATAATTGTGCAGTGAAAGACAGTTGTGTATTACAGTATGAGCTCAGTTATCCAAAGCCCGCTGAACTGAATGTTTGGGTTATCTAGCCAAAATTGGGTTCAGATAATTTTCTGCCAATCTTTGCCATATCTGAACAGAAATTTAAATAACCAGTTTTTTGAGCAGATAATTCACAATGGCACAGTGTAAGTCAAATTCAGATAATTTTCTGGCAAAACTTTGCTATTGGAGTGAGTATATTATTGACCAAATATACTCGCTACATAATATCCAAACAGAAATTTGTATAACCAGAAATTAGGTTATGTAAATTTTTATGAACTACACATTTAAAGATCTACAGTATCACATATGGAGACAAACTACAACAAGGTGAGCTCAAGTTTCTCTTTTTAAATTATGTTTTATTTATAGTGTGTAGAAATAACAATTATGGTGGTTGTGGTACAAAAAATTGCAAATGTGTGGTCATTTTTGGAACCTCTGCTGTAAGACTTCTGCTTATCTGAATGTCTGACTTATCCGGCGGGGCATCCTTTCTATATAATTCAGTAATACATATTTTATGCATAATAGTATACTGTATTGTACATAAATACACATACTGTAGTATCATGCAAGTGATGAATGGGCACAGCATTCTAATTATGTACTTGTCAAAAATAGCATGTTAAATTATGTTTGTAATACAAAAGCAATAAATAAATACTGTATCTGAAATTTTGTGCAAAAAGAAAATGGGGAGTAAACTTAGTGCAATATATTTTAACCATGTATATTATTCTCAGTACTCTTGGTTTCATTCTCGACTCTCAATCAGGGGTCCCGGTTTTGATTCCTGGACAGGAGAGAAATGATTGGACATGTTTCCTTTCACCTATTGTCTTTGTTCACCTAGCAGTAAATAGGTACCTGGGCATTAGGCAACTGTTGAGGGGTTGGATCCTGGGAGGCTCAGTAGTTCATCCTCTGAAGAATCTCAATATATACCTAAAGTATATATATAACTGTATATACACATAAGCTTCCTGTCCCCAACAAAATGAATTTTGTACATAATGTATCTTCTGGTCCTCTAAAGTTGCTAGGCTGAACTTCCTTAACCGGTCTGTGTAGCTTAGGTCTTATTTCAGGCACCAGCCTTATTGCATATATCTGGTCTTTTTCAAGTTTTATTTTGTTCTTCAGATGAGACGTCATGGAGGTGCAGCATATTCTGGAACCGATCTAATGGTTTGCCTCCAGTTAAAGTGCTGGTATTATACCTAATACTCAAAAATATCTCAAATCCTGAATCTGTCTCCACTAATTGTGTAGTTCTAATAGTTATACAAATAATAATAATTATTATTATTCAAAAGAATGTGTGTACAAAGAACATGAGTAATGTACAATTGTACGGACAGATTTGAGATCTAAACAAACACACTGGAAGATCAGGAGCATCAGATGGTACCTACGACTGGTTGAACAATTGGGCAAAACTTAAAATACCCGGTATTTTAAGTTTTTCAATATAGGAAAATTTAACTAAAGGTTTGAGGTGTGAGGGGAAGGGGGAAGGGGGTTTAAACAATACTAAAAGAGAAGTAAACTACCAAAATGAGAACGTTAAAGGAAAATAAATGAATACAAAAAAAGGTTCCCTATACTATATTAGTTTATCAGCCGACCCCTGCAGCAGCCAACAGTCTTCATATCGTTACTCTGTATTAGCTTTGTATCATCTACAAACATTGATATGTAGGAATAACTGTTGTAACTGTTCAGATACATAGCAGATAATTATGAAGAGAAAGCACTAAGCCAATATGACTATACAGTATAACGAGTAACTCTTCAGAGGAGACTCCATTTCTGAACTACTGGTATTACATGATTGCTTCAGCATTTAAGGACATTTCTTTAGAGAATTATAGACTTGATATGATTCCTTCTTTATAATGTATTACATCTCTATCCATCAGTTTGCAGCGTCGTGTGGACCGCCTCGAGCACAGTATAGGCAGCATTGTTAGCAAAATTGATGCTGTACTGGTGAAACTAGACACCATGGAGAAGACCAAACATAAACGCCGTGAGACCATGGGCAAGATTCTCGACACAATTACAGAGAATGATGGAAGTAAGTAATAGCTCAAAACAAGTTGGCCATAAACTAACCAATTGTGCTCTCAGACACCTGGTAGCATTGAAGCTGAGGTTTCTTAGCAGTGCCATTCATTATTCAGCCAATAGCAAGTAGGGTTAAGTTGGGTTGCCTTTAATATCATATATTAAGTGTTTCTTTGCATAGTGCACGAAATCAGGTCAGTGTTGATCTTATGTATAAGTCAGCATCTAATTAACCATTTTCTTCATTAACGGGCCATAACTTTAATATACACAATAAATGAAAACTGGTTCAATTTCAAAGTTTTTTTTTGACTAGTTGTATATGAAAAGGGCTTCAACTAGTCCAAGTCTCAGGACCGTAACATAAATAGGAAGTTAGATAAAAAATATTGAATTGTCAAAATTTTTCCAAAATGGTAAAAAATTAACATCAAACACAAGTGTCAACTGAAATCATGTCTATGACTCTCAGCCATTACAATAGCATATAATAAAGGATTTTAATAATTAGTTTTATCCCCCCCAAAAAATGTAGTTAAACGAAAAAAAAAGGTTAAGAGAAAATTCAGAGGTATGCAACCAGACTAGTCCCAGAACTGAGAGCTATGAGGAAAAACTAAAGGAGCTAAATCTCATGCCCCTGGAAGATGGAAGAGTAAGGGAAGACATGATAACCACGTACACAATTCTCAGGAATTGACAGGGTGGATAAAGACAAACTTTTTAGCATGGGTGGAACACAAACAAGGGGACACAGGTGGAAAGTTAGTACCCAAATGAGCCACAGAGACATTAGAAAGAATTTTTTCAGTGTCAGGGTAGTTAACAAATGGAATGCATTAAACAGTGATGTGGTGGAGGCTGACTCCATACGCAGTTTTAAATGTAGATATGATAGAGCCCAGTAAGCTCAGGAATCTGTACACCAGTTGATTGACAGTTGAGAGGTGGGACCAAAGAGCCAAAGCTCAACCCCTGCAAGCACAACTAGGTAAGTACATAGGGTGACCCCTCCAGCAGGTGATATGATGACCAAACAATAGAGTCCTATGTCAGTGGGTGTGTTTAAGATGCACAGCAGGCAGGAGAGGGAAGCAGATGCCACCTCCAACTGCTTAAAAACTGCACTGAAGAGCCCCACTTGCCTGGTCAAGGGTTGGAGTCAGTATTGTACAAATAATAGCACAACTTGTGAAGTTTGGCAAAGGTGCAGCTCGAGGCCATCTCCCTTGTCTTATAGTGTGGTGAACAGGAATGCTAGCACAGGTAAATTCTTAAATATTCTTTTTGCTCATTGTCTCCTGACTCAATATTAAGTTGAAATAAAAATTATAATGCATTTTATAATTTTACAGTGGACGAGGCCACAAAGAGGAAACATATGGAAAAATTGGTCCGTGACGAGTTAGAGAAATGGGATGGAGATGGCAGCCCAGGCTCGGTAAGCATTTTATAAAATACTGTACACATTTAGTGAAGAGATATTATTGTAATGATTTTAATTACAGGACTTTCTCACTGTTTCAACTTCGCCTAATATGAAAATTTCAAGCCCCTTTCCTCCCATTATCATTATACTGCAACTCTTAACCCTTACACTGTTTGGTACAAACCCTTACACTGTTTGGTACACTTGTGCACATACGGCACTGTACTATACTGTACAATACCGAATATTATTTCAAAGTCAAAACTGTTATGGTCATCAAAACATTCTAACATGGGGCAAGTTTATAGCAGTGAAGTTATAAAATGTTTCCTCTGCTGTCAATACTGGAGTTCAAATGAACTGTTAAAAAATCAAATTTTCATTGATACCTTTTATATATGTACAGTACCAAAATATTTTGTAAATCATTGTTGTAAACAAATTAAATAATAATAATTAAATATTAGTGATTTCTACTATTAGACAATATATTTTATTCACATAGCACAATGATTCTTGGGTAATATTGTGTAAACAGTATCATAGCAATCATTAAACATTCAACTATTATTTTTTGTTCTGAAACAGAGTAAGTTTGGACCTAACAATGAAAAATCAGTCAAAATTAGAGAAATAGCATTCTCATAGTACAGTTGGGTTTGTTCTGGACTCAGTCAGGGATCCCGGGTTCAATTCCCAGGCAGGACAGAAATAGTTGGACATCTTTCCTTTCACCTAATGCCTCTGTTCACTTAGCAGTAAATAGTTAAACAGAGTTGTGTACCTATTTACCTGTGAGGTTGCATCCTGGGGAAGGTCGGTATTTCAACTATGTGGTGGTGGGGGGGGGGGAACCTTAATACAAGCCTAAAGTGAGTAATTATCGAAATGTAGTTACAGGATGAGAGCTATGCTTGTGGTGTCCCGTCTTCCCAGTACTCTTGTTATATAACTTTGAATCCAAATCAGTGGTTTCAAACGCCTTCTCACTTTACTTGTTCCAATTATCTACTACTGTATGTGGTAGGCAAAAGTGAACTTTCTAATGTTTTTTGGCATCTTTGTTTCCTTAGCTTGAATCTATGACCTTTTGTTGAAGTTCCAGGTTTCAAGAATTTTTCTTCTTTGACTCTTGTTGTTTTGAATGTAATGATCATATCCCCTCTTTTTTTTCTTCTGTCTTGTAGCTTTGGTATATTTAACACCTCTCCTCATAGCTCTTACTTAGTTCTGGAAGCCATTTAGTTGCATGTTTTTGCACCTTTTACAGTTGGTCTCACAAAAGTCGTGAATAATTTCTTTATTTTACCATCTATATATTTAAAAGCAATTCTGAAGATAGAAAGCATAGCATGGGCTCCTCACAATGTTCTCTATGTGGGCCTCTGGTGAGAGTTTTCTATCCAGAACCACCCTTAGGTCTTTATCAGAGTTCTTCATAGCCTTTTCACATAATTTGTAAGTTGTGTGTGACACTTCTGACATTTTTATGTGTTACTCAAAATTCTTTTCCTCAGCACCTCAGAGATTCACTTTCTACCACTAATTCTTGATCTTTCACTATTATTTCATGCAGCCCACTAGCTACATCCCTTCCTATTTTATTCCACCAGGTATTGTCCTTCTTTACTCATTCTCTTCTCAACTTCACCTGCACAAATTCCTGTTTTGTCAGTTATACATCCGAGGTATTTAAAGTGGTCAACCACATCTATCATTTCTTCATTCACACTGAATGAAGAAGTTTCATGCTCTCTTCTACCAACTTTACTCTTGTCCATATTAACAGTAATCAATATCCCTCTGCTAAAAGTGTGTACTGTAATGTAAAATCTCAATGTGACATTCTCCATTGCTCATTATATACTTATAAAAGAACATAATAGAGGAAACTAAAGAGGATCTTTGGCCCATGCATGGCAGCTCCACTTTATATCCGCCCAAAATCATATATGTCTAACCTTCTTTCGAAACAATCCAGTGATCTCCCATCTGTTATGTTACCCAGTAATTAGTTTCATAAATCAACATTGTTATTTACAAACCAGCCAAGGTCTTTTCTAAATCTAAATTTATCCAATTCTCTCAGAATCATTGATAATAATTTGTAGCTCTTATTCTATCTCAGGCATAAAAATTGTTGTTGGAATGTATAAACAGTCTCCCAATACTGTGCTGTTATCCTATTCTAAACTCGCTAAGTTATCACTTCTTCAATGAAGTTTTAATAAGCACTAACATTTATATTCTTTTATTTCAGGGACATAAATAAATGGAAGCTGGTTGATCCCTAGTGATAGTATAATATTGAAGTTGCACAGCTCAATACTCAACTAGAATTCTTATGCAACTTCAGTAAAACAGAATATGGGTAGTTGCACAGTCATTATATAGTTGTAAGCCAGTGTTGTACATACTGAAATGTAATAGCTTTGATATCCAGTGATATTCCATGATAAAACCAATCTATATCTTGGTCAAGTTGCATTGTCAGCATCCCATAACATGAGGAAAACTGTATAGGTATATATTAGAAAGATCAGCATCTGCTACTTGCCAGTATTTGTTAAAAGCCAGTAAGCAGGTGGTGGTATTGATTCTTCATCGAGGGCAAGGAATAAGCTTTTACCTCTCAAGATACAAGAAATAATAAATCCCCCTTGTAATTAGGAGCTACAATTTTGGGGAGGGTACTAACAGTATAGCATTTCACTTTCCTGTGAATTTGAATAGAGGAGAAATCATCCAGATTCCATCTATGTATTCTCCAGCATCAAACTGGTGCATATAACTTGGATATTGTAGAGTAATTGTTCAAAGTAGTCAGCATGAGCTGTGATACCTGTGCCTCAGTGCTGGACAGATCTTTACTTGCTTCAGCAGTGTTACCAGCTAAATTAATCGGTAACATTTTAACCGTCAATTATTCATATTTACATTGAAGAATTTATGCACATTTCCTGGATATTGCCAGACTTCACGGGCATTATAAAATCTGATCCGGGTGTCAACACTATTCAGTACAAAGTCAGTAATCCAGCCAATTGCACATGTTGACGTCCTGGTCTTTCTCTGGTGTATAGTCAGTCATGGTTTATGAACACCTGCATGATGGTGCATATGTCTGAATACAAGATGGAGATCTGTCCAGCCTAAAGTCTAATGTAAATTTCTGCATTTATTTTCTTTATAAAATTTCCAGTTACACAACTGTCATTCAAAATCTGAATGTGCTAGTCCAGAAAAGTTATGGTTGATTTTTGACAATGAACAAGCTTCTGAAGAAGTGCTTTATTAAGTCCATAATTTATTGAGAGAGATATCTTGATACAAAGCCCTATAAATACAGTATTGTCTACCAAAATTTACCATTAATATAATGTCTCATTAAGAAGCATTATTATCAAGACTAATCTTTTGAGTTCAGTAATTTATTATTTTGCATTACAATTCTGTAAAATACTGTGTACATTATGCTGTTATGTTCACTAATACTTTCCAAAGCCTTTTTTAATAATAAACATTTCCAGAAATAAACATGTAAGCACATATGATAAAACAACCCCAGAGCATCCTAGTTGAAATTACAGTACCCATGCCCTTTATGAAACGCTGGTAACCAGTAACCATTATTTCATACTACGTACAAACCAGTGGCTTAATGCGTGACTGATAATCCTCCCTCCTGAGTCTATAGGTTATTTGACATTTAGACTGACTGCACATGTTACAAAAATATTTATATAATTATTGAAGTTAGTTTAAATTATTGATTTATGTTTTAGTTTTCAGCCCAGTAAAATAATGCTGTCAGTTAATAATAATAAAAATATATATATTTAGTGGAAATGGTGACCAGAGCGGTCCTCTTGTTAGTTCAGGTCTCGGTAATCCAGCCAAATGTACCTGGTGAGAGGACGCAGCCTCGGGGCCATACATCATTTTCACTTTTAGCATCTGTTCTCCTGACCATTGTTTTGTGTGGGCATAATATATTTGTACATTAGCTTAATTACTTGCATTATAATTTGGATAATTCTCATATAATCAAATTACCTATAAATAAATTATTTATTCACTTCTTGAAAGTATTCCTCACCTTTGATAATTGTTTAAATGTGTCTTACCTTGATACAATGTCAATACTCTACAGTAATCTATTCTTCGCAATACGTGCAGTTTGCATGAAGGTATATCCTCCCGATGATTGCAGGAGTGGTAATGTAGAAAGATACGTATATGACAATGCACAACACATCAATGGTCACGACGTGTCCGAGTCAAGAAGATAACGACGCTGTCAAGGCGGGCGAGGATAAAGGCAAAACTAACAAGAGGAAAGAAATGAAGGATGAGAATAAAGAAAACAGAAGGCGAACACAAAGCATTGCCGCAGTAAAGAAAGCGAGGGACGGAGGCAAGAGACAAAGGGCAGGGGCAAAGGATGTGAAGGAGGCAAGTGCGAATGTGTAGAAGGGTAGAGGAAGTCAAGACAGGACAGGCGAGGTTAGGACAGGGCAAGGTACATAGATGGCATCCGGAGCCTCGCAACTGGGACGCTAACGCATCGGACTCCGCAGAAGCGCCAGCAGGACAACGAGAGGAAGACCTAGGAAGGGTGCGAGGACAAGTCTTGGGAGAAAGCGATGTAAGAGACCCATCAGGCAAGGTGGCGGGGCGCTTGGAAATCGGAACGACGGAGGAATGCTTCTACTTAGAACCGGGGGAAGAGATGTGCGGCAAGGCAGCCTGGGAAGAGAGAGAGGGAAGGCTCGCCAAAGAGCCCCAAAGGGCCTTGTCCAGCATCGATTCAAACGCATTGGAGATATCAGAGGCAGCTGCAGGAGGATGGACGTCAACCATAGAAGAAGCGGAGGAGAGAAGTGATGGGTCAGCCTCAGGAATGGGGACAGACTGTGGATAAAATTTAGTGACGAGGCGGACCAGCACCATCTCGAGTGCATCCACAACGCGAGCAACAATAGCGTCAACAAGATCAGGACTCGGTTGAATGAGGGTGGGAGAGAAGAAGCCTCAGGGGCGAGAGGAACGTCAGTGACAAACGGATCAGGCAAAGGTGGCGGCAGAGGGGAAGTGGCAGGCGACAAGGAACCGGGGCAGGATGAGGCAAAGCACGACTGGAGGGTCGAGGACAGTAATCTCTCTCATCAGGACTGGTTGCAGTGGAAGGCTTTGGAAACAAAAAGACATTTGTCACTTTCATTACTTCAATTTCAAAAGTATTGTGTTTTGTTTTAACAAATGATTGAGCACAAATTTGTTCATATTTAATATAAGCACATGGAAGAGTACATTTTAAATTAAAAACTGGTTCTCATCTTCCTCAATCCTTCCTTCTTCGTAAGCCTGTTCTTGAATCTTATCCTTTAGATTTCTGCACTCATCTCCGCCTTCCCTATAACGTTCCTTTCTCTCATTCTGAACTTCAGTCTGCCCTGGCCCTCTGTGGATCTACTGCGGCAGGCTCGGATGACGTTCATTATGAGATGCTTCGCCATCTCCCTCCGTGCATGTCTCGGTATGTATAACCAGGTCTGGGAGTCGTCGTCCGTTCCTGAGGACTGGCTCGATGCCGTTGTACTCACTATTCAGAAACCCGGGTCTCTCGGTACATCCCCTAAGGACTTCCGCCCTATTGCTCTCACGAGTTGTTTGCAAGCTGTTTGAGCGTATAGTAAATGTCCTTCTGATGTGGTTCTTGGAACACCATCACCACCTCTCACTTTCTCAATTTGGTTTTCGCAAGTGCCGCAGCACGTCTGATGTCCTGGTGAACTTGGAGGTCTATATTCGTACTGCTTTTGCTGCGAAGACCTCCGTTGTTGCTGTCCTTTTTGACCTAGAAAAGGCTTATGACACGACTTGGAGATACCATATTCTGTCCCAACTTCGTTCTTTTGGCCTTCGTGGTAATCTCCTTCTCTTCCTTCAAAACTTCCTCTCTCGTCATAGCTTTCGAGTCAGGCTTGGTACCACTCTCTCTGCCTCTTTTCGGCAGTATGAAGGTGCGCCCCAAGGTAGTGTTCTGAGTACTACTCTTTTTCTGGTTGCCCTCAATGGTCTCCTTTCCTCCCTTCCTTCTGGCATCTTCTCCGCTCTTTATGTTGACGATCTTACTCTTTGCTGTCGAGGTGATGATTCGCCTCTCCTTCAATGGCAGCTTCAACTTGCGATTGATGCTGTGTCATCTTGGGCCACCAATCATGGCTTCAAGTTCTCTACTACTAAGACTTGTGCCATGACTTTTACTCGGAAGCGGGTCGTTCTTCATCCCTCTTTGTCACTTTATGGTCATCCCCTCGAGTACAAAGATTCCACGAAGCTTTTGGGGTTATTCTTTGACACTCGTTTGTCTTGGTCGCCCCATATCTCTTACCTCCGTAATGAATACTCTAAGGCCCTTAACCTACATAAGGTTTTGTTCCATACTTCTTGGGTAGCAGATAGACGCACGCTCCTCTATATGCAGTCCTCTCTCGTCCTGTCTAAACTCAATTATGGTTGCACGGCATACTCTTCTGCTTCTCCTTCTACTCTTCGCCGTCTTGATCCTTTGCATCATACTGGGTTGCGCCTCAGCTCTGGTGCTTTTCGTTCAACTCCTACCCTCAGCTTGTACGCTGACACTGGCTTTCTGTCTCTCCAGGACCGCCGTGATCGCTACAGTCTTCGCTATCTGGCGCGATCCTTACAGCATCCTCACTCTCGCCTCTATCATGCTTTGACTTTTACCCCTCCTGTATGCAGGCGATGAGTCACAATAACGTGGCTGAAGTATGTTGACCAGACCACACACTAGAAGTTGAAGGGACGACGACGTTTCGGTCCGTCCTGGACCGAAACGTCGACTTGAGAATGGTCCAGGACGGACCGAAACATCGTCGTCCCTTCAACTTCTAGTGTGTGGTCTGGTCAACACCCCTCCTGTAGTTCTTGTTCCTCTTCACTACCTTCCTCTTTCTGTCCATTTGTCTCGCTTACAAGATTCTCTCTCGGTTCGTATTACTAATGTTTCTCCTCGCATTGTTCCATCCTTGCCCCCATGGAGGGTCCCCCTTCCCAAATTTTGTACTTCTCTGACCCGCATCACTAAAGCTTTTACCCCCTCCTACAGTTCTGAAACACCTCTTGAGCACTTTTCTTCTCACTCCTACTCCGTTCCCATCTTCACCGATGGGTCTAAATCTGCTGACGGTGTGGGCTACTCTGTTGTTTTTCCTGACCACACTTATGTGTGTCACCTTCCTCTGGAGGCTAGCATCTTCACAGCAGAACTTTATGCTATTCTCTATGCTCTTCGTCTCCTGCTTTCCCGATGTCAATCCTCCTTTGTGGTGGTAGTCGACTCTCATAGTGCCCTCATGGCTTTAGGGTCCTTTAATCCAGTCCGTCCAGTGGTCATCGAGATTCAACATTGGCTGTTTCTTATCTCCACTAAATTTTAGTCGGTTGCATTTTGCTGGGTTCCCAGCCATGTTGGTGTCTCATTAAATGAGCGTGCGGATGCTGCCGCTAAGGACGCTATCCGCACTTGTCCCATCTTCCGTAAAGGTATTCCTTATTCCGACTTTTACCCAGTTATTCATGCCTCCATCCTTGCCCGCTGGCAGAGTTGTTGGTCTTCTGTTATTGGTAACAAACTGCGTACTCTTAAGAGTTGTGTATCCCAGTGGCCTTCCTCCTGCCACCGTAACCGTCGGTGGGAAACAACTCTGGCTAGGTTACGTATTGGCCATACCCGTTTAACTCAGTCATTTAATGGAGTGCCGCCCTGCTACTTATTGTCCAAATTGCATTGTTCCTCTTACGGTCGTGCATCTCCTTGTTGAATGTCCTGACTTCCAGGATGAGCATGTGTCTTGTTTTCCGGCCATCCCCCGCAGTCGCTTGTCCCTCGATAGAATTCTTGGCAACTCGGGTACTTTTGATATCGTTTGCCTTGTGCGATTTTGTTCTCGTATTGGCATCCTTGGTGATATTTAGCGCCCTCTGATTATCCCGCACATTTGATGGTGCTACATAGCCTTCCCGGTTTGGTGCCTTCTGTTGATAATTACTTACTTTTAATTAAGAGAGATAACTGAATACTATATAGCTAGATACAAGGGTCAAAAAGTGGTTATTGGTCTTATACTGATCACTCATATGGGGTTAATGCTGGAAGTTGGAAAAACAGTGTTCAGATTGTAAGAATGTACTCCTATGCAGAGTGATAAGCAAGTGAACACCTAACTCATGAAAAATACATGAAACTTTTGACTATTGATATAAAAATTATAATTTAGTGGTGGCCAATGGAGTTCTCACATCCTATGTGGCACAATTAGCCTCTCATTCCCTGGAAAATAGTTTTGGGATAATTGCACTAGGGTCCAGTTCAAAAATTTTTCTCACTAATGGCCAAAATTGTCTTGGATCTAGAGCCCACACATCCCAAGGCCCCCAGAAACCAAAGGTAGGTTCATATGGCTGTGTGGAATGTGAGAGGCATAAAGAACAATACAGAAGAGAAGCTAATGCTAGTGTATAATGTCACTACTGAAAAGACCTGGCTGAAACCATGCTGTTGAGAAAAAGCATCATCAGAACAGTAATTACCCAAGTGTAGTTACAGTATAGAATGAGAGCGACGCTTGTTCCGACCCATCTTTCCAGTACTCTGTCATATAAAGCTTCACCCTACTCATGGTTTTGGCATCCACCACCACCTCACTTAACTTGTTCCAATCATCTACCACTGTTTGCAAAAGAATACTTTCAAATATTTTCTTGGCACCTTTGTTTCCTTAGCGTGAATCAATCTTCAAGAACAAGAGGAACAATCCTCTTGTTCTTGAAGTTGCTGGTTTCATGAATTCCTGTCAATATCGTTGATTCCTGTTATTATTTTATAAGTGGTCATCATATCACCTGTTTTTCTTTTATCATGTAGCATTGGCATATTTAATGCCTCTAGCCTCTCTTTGTAACTCTTGTGGAGTGAAGGCACACAGCTTAGCACTTTGGAAGATGGATGGGCTTGTGCACATTCCAAATTCCCACATTATCTCCATCGTTGTT